CCGCCTCGGCGCTGTAGGCAACATGTGATCTACCGTACGACGAACGACGTGTGTACAGAAAAAAACATCACTCCGGTGCGCGTCTTGCACCGATAGTGTAAAAAAACTGTACAGTAGTACCTTGAGACAACGCCGTGAACTGCTTGGTAGTTGCACGTAACGAACATCCAGCAACGAAGAATAATTTGACATTCNCGTAACGAACATCCAGCAACGAAAAATAATTTGACATTGCACATGTGAAAGACGGTTGCTTGCAAGGCTTAAATTTCACAAGTGTCGAATGGCAAATGACGTGGGTCGACCCGCTGGGAAAACGTTGCTCAAACGATATGCAGCGGCAACAACGAACGAACATATGTGCACAGCTCGTGGAGAGCTAACGATGCGACCTTCTCATGCGATTGCGCAATTGAGAGGTGCTGCTGCATAGACGAACGACGACGAATGGTGATTACAAGTACAGCCAACGATGTGCTGTAGCATGGACGTACGTTCCAATCATAATTGAAAACGTTTAAGGAGCTCGCACGAGGTACTATGTCGTACGGCATTGAAACAGCGAAATATATATAGTAAAATCCAATCACTCAACGAACGGGCAACGTCATGCATTAAAAATGACGTGAGCTATTCTGCATGTCCAACGAAACGAAGACACGCAACCATGCTTGGTTCGCGGAGGGCGAATCTCAACGCAAACTAGGCTCCGCCTGCCGACTTCCACGAGGTGTTGCATCCAACGTGGGCGTATCCACCAACAACGTCAATGTCCGGCCGGACTGCGAAGGAACGTTGGGGACGGCGGGCACTACGAAACGATCGTGCTGGACGACGAACAAAAAAATATACGAAGTATATACATACAAAAAAAAAAAAAAACATAGCCCTTGTAAAATGAACGAAACACGAAACGAATAAGGCAAACGCAGCACGAGACACGATACCAAGCAGCTACGAGTGCTACTTTCTAGGAAGATGATCAAAGGCGTGCGGATTATCACGAAGAACGCACGCTCGATATGAACGGATCATCTCGTGACACTGGGGCACTTCTTTGAAGTGCTTCCAAAACCCAAGACTTTCAGGACGGTCTTTGAGGAGGAAATAGTATTGGAAGTTATGGAGAGACGGTTTTCCTGCTCCACGTTTAAATTTGTCTATCCCCTCGACGACGTACGGTCCAATTTTTACGGAAAACACGGTACCATCCAAATCGGGAATTGGAAGGGTTTGTCCCAAAAACATCTCATCCAATTCAGAAAAATCGGGGACAGAATCACGTTGAAAAGCATAATACTTTTTCATACGACCCAAGTGTACTGACGTTTCCGCGAGTTCTCCGTCTTTGCAAACACGATAGATGACGGGTGATACTTTTGAACGAACGGTGAATGGGCCATGCCAAGGGCTGATCAGCTTGGGATTGGGGCCATCCATAACGGTCTGGGGACGATGTACGAGAACTTGTTCCCCAGGAGTAAACTGCGGTACGGATAAATTTTCGTTCGAGTCTGCTTGCTTGTCAGTTCGCTCTTTCAAATTACGACGAGCGATCTCATACGCGAGTTGCAAGTTATCCACGGTACGACGTGAATATTCCATACGCGAAGCAGAGCTATCATGAGACGGTACACCAAGAATGACATCCACGGGAAGCAAAGCCTGGCGACCAAGCATCAGATAGTGAGGNTTCGTTCGAGTCTGCTTGCTTGTCAGTTCGCTCTTTCAAATTACGACGAGCGATCTCATACGCGAGTTGCAAGTTATCCACGGTACGACGTGAATATTCCATACGCGAAGCAGAGCTATCATGAGACGGTACACCAAGAATGACATCCACGGGAAGCAAAGCCTGGCGACCAAACATCAGATAGTGAGGAGTTTCCTCAAGAGTTTGGTTGTACGCGGTGTTATGGGCGAGTTGCACAAACGGTAAAAGCTCAGCCCAATTATCAAACCGAACGTTTGCATACATTGCGAGCATGCCATGCATTGTGCTGTGCACGCGCTCTAATACAGTTACCTTGCGGCCGATACGCGGACGTCCAGTTTTTTTGAAACCAAACACGGCCTGCAACTCTTAAACCAACTCATTCTCGAACTCAGTGCCCTGGTCACTGTGTAACGTTTCAGGGGGAGAAAAAACGGAAAATACACGCTCTACGAGAGCCTGTGCAATTGTTGTTGCTTATTTATCACGAATAGCAATCAACACGAGAAAATGAGTCAGGTGATCGATGACCGACAAGACGTACTTGCAACCCTGCGATACGGTGTTATCTTCAACGAGATCGATCGCGACACACTGAAACGGACGAGTAACGGGACGGTGACCCACAGGTAATAACGGTCGTCTGTGGGACGTTTTTCGGTGTTGGCACGACAAACAATGCTGGATGTGTTTGGACGCATCTCTAGACATGGTCGGCCACCAAAAACGATCTCTGAGTCTATCGTACGTGGCTTTGAACGCTAGATGACCCCCTGACGCAGGAGCATCATGACAAGAATCCAAGACTAACGCACGCAAAACGGTGGGAACGACAAGTTGATCACGAAACGAACTACGTTTACGAAGATACCCTGGTAAATACGACCTGAATAGAACGATCTCATTCAAGAAGTAATTACTCATGGTGCCTTTATTTTCGCTAGACGGTAACGGTGCTGTTTTGGGTTTCTTGACGTTGTCGATATACGGACCGCACTCTTTGTACTGTTCTCTTCGCAATTTAGCGGGATCCAGTACAGGAAAAAACGATACAGCACTAGCAAACAGTTCGTCGTCATTATGGACGACNACTAACGCACGCAAAACGGTGGGAACGACAAGTTGATCACGAAACGAACTACGTTTACGAAGATACCCTGGTAAATACGACCTGAATAGAACGATCTCATTCAAGAAGTAATTACTCATGGTGCCTTTATTTTCGCTAGACGGTAACGGTGCTGTTTTGGGTTTCTTGACGTAGTCGATATACGGACCGAACTCTTTGTACTGTTCTCTTCGCAATTTAGCGGGATCCAGTACAGGAAATAACGATACAGCACTAGCAAACAGTTCGTTGTCATCGTGGACGATATCAACATCGTTCAACGAATCGGCAGAAATTTCGTAGTCACGAGGGCCAGGAGGATGGTACGGACGATCACTCGGCACATTCCTACAAATCGACGCTAGGGCCGGTTTGTGTGATATGGTTTCGGACTCAATTTCGCCAAATAAACGAGATAACGTATCGGGTACGACGTTCAATTTTCCCGCTACGTGTTTGACGGTAAAATCATAATTTTGAAGAGCGATAGTCTAGCCCAACGAGTGAGCATGTTGCTGGTGTCTTGCATGTAAAAAAGATGAGTCAACGCTTGATGATCCGTGATCACCGTAAAGTGTTTCCCAAATAAGTACGGTCGCCAATGCGAAATTGCAAGAACCACACCGCAACACTCGTTCATAGACGCAGAGTAATGACGCTGTCCATGTTTGAACCTATGGCCATAATACGCAATCATGTCAAGAGACTCTGGATGGATCAGCCTTGGACGGCTGGGCAAGAAACGCGCCACACCCATGTTCGGATGCATCCACATGAACTACGAATTCCCGATCGAAGTCTGGGAAGTGTAGAACGGGCGCTGAAGTTAATAACCGCTTTAGATGAGCGAACGATGCGTCGTGCGATTTGTTCCAAGCTTTTACGAAACGTGATTTTGTGGCGTACTCTTTGCGAGTTAACTCCACCAACGGATTGGTTATTTCTGCATAATCCGGTATGAACCGGCGCACAAAATTAACCACCCCGAGTACTGAGCGAAGATCTTTCAAGCAACGAAGAGTAAAAAGGTTTTGGACGGCTTCTATACGATCCTTCCTGACAGAAATACCTTCAGCCGAAATAATATGTCCCAAATACTCGATGGACTTGGGGCCAAACGAAATCTTCGAAGGTTTCAATGTCAGACCTGCTGCTTGGAGAGCTACGAACATGCTCTCCAAAGACTTCATATGATTCTCGAAAGTTGNAAAATCCATGGGGCATTACAAACACCAAACGGCATCCGCTTGTAACAGTACTTGCCAGAGTTGGTGACAAAGCTTTAAGGCTGTCCTTTCCACGTGGTCAGGATGAACAGGAATCTGCCAGTGCGCTGACTGGACGTCTGCAACGCTGATGAACTTGGCGCTGCCGAAAGAGTCAAGGTTGGACTCCATGTTCGCTAGAGGCCAGGTCTTGCGAATGATGTGCTTGTTGACGGTGCTTCGGAAATAGACGCAAAAACGAGGTTCACCATCTTTACGCGCGACGAGAGTAACGGGGGAACCCCACTGACTAGGCAGCTCTTCGATGATGTCATCGTCAAGCATGTCCTTAACGCACGTTTGGATAACGGCTTCAGTGTGCGGGTTTGCGCGGTAGGGACGACGTTTAATCGGTTTTGTGTTAGGCGGCGTAGGAAACGTGGCTTGAGCAGTTGTGCATTTACCAAGCTCCTTACGATTCAGCGAAAAAACGGGACGATATTTTGCGCACAGGTCCAAAATACGAGTTTGCTGTTCCCTAGTGAACGTGGAATTTGCGAACGCTTTCGACAGCGGTTCTACCAGCTCAGCTTTAGCAGCAGCAATTTCACTCGCGGTTTTTGGAGACAAGGCAACAGCATGGACGTGAAGCTGTTCCTGTGCTACCATAGTAATCGGCGATAAAGTTCCAATATCCAATCCAACATGTACGACGAGATACTCAGATGATGGATTCGCAATTTGGACAACTACCGAACCATCAACAGCACTCCATGTTGAGACGGTACGAGCCACGATTAAACGCTCAAATTCGGGCGGAACAGTATCGAACGAAAGTTCATCTGCCGACAAAATACGCGGCTCGACTACTACGGCGGTATCAACGGACGGCATGCATTCAGTAAATGCTTTTACGATCATCGCATGACGAGGGCAAATATTATAACGTTGACGTAATTTGACTGAGTGTTCTTCCGCATTTCGATGAACGGCTGCAACACGGGGGGACGGCGACGGATCATAGCCGTGTTGAGATTTTTTACGATGAATAGCGGGGACAATTGTGTCACTACACTCAAAAGTCAAACGTTCATTTTTCCCGTCAAGTACTGCCCCAAACCGAGTCATTGCATCATTGTCTAGGAGTATTTGATCAGGACCGAGCGATGGTACGACCAACGCATCGATTCGGCGGGACACGTCTCCCAACCAAACAACGAACGGAATAAATCCTAAAACTTTGACTGGTGCACCATTTGTGGCACTGAGTTTCAGGGACGGAGACGGTATTGGCTCGAAACGAGCAAACGATAACGATGGGTCAACCCATTTTGCCACAGAGCTACTGTCATGCAATTCCAAGCCGTACGACTACCATCACGCTCGACGGCAGCTTGGAACCGTGCCATGACAGCACGGAAACGGAGCGCATACGAGGAAAANCTGTCCAGACAAGATCTGCTGTATGAGGGTCAACACCCCTCCTGTTCCCACAAGGGCAACGTGCTTGAGTGCAACCCCATCAGCATACGACGAATCTGTGTTGACAACTGCGGCTTTCAGCCCAACTACCGTACGAAAACGTTTCAAGATTTCTATCGCATTCTCGGCACGGTCTCCAGTCAGCTTGGGAACGCTNTATCAGGGTCAACACTTCTCCTGTTCCCACCAGGGCAACGTGCTTGAGTGCAACCCCATCAGCAAACGACGAATCCATGTTGACGGCTGCGGCTTTCAGCCCAACCACCGTACGAAAATGTTTCAAGATTTCGATCACGTTTTCTGTACGGTCTCCAGTCAGCTTGGGAACGCTGCGGAGGTCAGCCGCGGATATCGAAACGGTAGCTGCTTGCAGAAAAGTACGAACGGGGGCTTCGGTCGCTACAGCAGTCGATGCCATCTGTGACGTTGAAGTAACAGGTGTGACGACGTACGATTGCGCATTCGTAGATGCAACCTGTGCTGTTGAAGTAACAGGTGACGCTACGATGGACGATTGCGCACTAGTAGGTGCAACTTGCAATGTTGAACTAGCTGTAGTTGCACTACTAGACGTACACGACACCGAAGTAGACGTGTTGACGGGCGCAGTGAGCGACGGACTCGGCGAGGGATTTGATCCACTCGTTGCCTGCGCGGACGGAACGAACGATGGCGCTTCAGGGGACAACGGTGTCAGCCTGGGCAACGACGGAGCTAAAAACGGAACGCTTGAACTTACCGCTGGAGTTGTAGTTGCACTCGTTCCACGAGACGAGGCTCCACGAGACGACGTAGCTGACGCTGTTGCAACAAACGATGAAGCAGGCACCGACTCCGTCAGGAGACGCTGCTGCCACGCGACGGTAGCTGGCGAGAGCTCCGGAGGAGTCTGCCTACGCCGCAACGCTCGGAGGTACGCTTTCACCTCCTCCTTGCACGTTGCCTCCAGCAACTGCAAGGACGATAACCGGTCCACACGATCATCATCATCCGATGACGGGTGCGACCGATTCCCCTCGTCTTCCGAAGAAGAGGACGACGACGACGCTGGAGGCGGCGACGACGGGCCGGCGGACGACGCTGGGAAGAAGTGGTGGTCTGCGTCCTCCCCTTCCGGCTCGAAGTCGACAGCTCTTAGGTGGCATTCACAGATGGATGTGATATTTCGGCAGGATGTGACCTGTAGTCTATGCAGGCAGGTTGATGCCGTACACCACCCATTGTCATCTGTTGAACAAGCGTGGTAAAAGGTGCACTATAATGCTGTTGTGCCAATGTTCCCAACATTTATTGGTGGATATTGACGCGCCGATATCTTGTATTGGATGATGTGCCTATCTATGTGTACAGTAATTATTACGCAAAAAAAGATCATGGGGCGGAGAGCCTGTTGCGTGAACGTTCGAGTACGTGTGATCCTTGATCATCACTGTTCGGAGTTCGTGAGACATGTTTCGCGTTAACCTGTTCTGGACCCAAAATTATCCGAACCTACTGCAGACCCGAAACCGAACGCCTAGCGGTCCCCTCCTAGGCTACGTCCCGACTGTCATGGTCATGGTGCGTTCGGTCGGCTCCATTGAAGCTCGTGTGTTACGAAGGTACCTAGTAGATGCGGGGCGTCGTTTTCACAGAAGAAACAGCACGACAACCGACTATCAACCTTCAAGAGGCATCCCTAGAAGAACCAACAGCTGCTGGCTGCCCGGCTCAGCCCCCCAGATAGTTCGTGCTGCCTTTCTTACGCTGCCTGTTGCGACTGCGTCAACCGCGAGTATGACAATATGAACATTTAGACTAAGATTTCGTCACTTTTCATGCCTCGGCATTTCTTTCTCTCGCGGCAACGAGCCTTTTCTCGCGATTCATTCTCAGGGACACGCAGGAGGCTCGTCGGTACATTATTAACGCTCGTACCCGGAGCTCGGTAGGGCACCGTAGCCAAGGTGAAGGATGCAACAATGGCAATAGCACATCGCGCAATGATGACGACAGCGGTGGGGCGGGCAACAACAACGGCAGCAACGCCAACAACGGGAACAACAGTAACCAAGGATTTTGGCTACTTGTCAATGAAATCGATGATGGGGCATGCCTACTAAGATGCATTGCCCGTCGAGTTATCAACGACCCCAACATGTACCAACTGGTCAGAACGCAACATCGACCACATCAACGACAACTCCCATAACCCCTTACCAGGCTCAACACACTTTGTACGACTCCATCTTTGCTGGAATCCATTCAGAGAACACTCAAATAGCTGGTCAACCTGAACAACCCTACCAAAGTGTCCCGGAATACCTCCATCTCATGCCTGCTACAACTGCCTACGCCACCTGTGTCAAGATTGCAGCTGCCCAACAGTTGTACAACCTTAACTTACGAATTAACCTCTTCGGCCAACCCTTTCCACCTCCTCCGTCCCATGATGTATGCCATTTTTTGTACGGGGGCGAGCACTGATGAACATTAAGATTTAGAGTAGGTCTAGTCCAAGAATTCTCACCTTCCTTAACTACCTACGTCACCCCCCCGTCCCGAAGGAGAACCTTGTATTTGTATACATGAAGTGAACTTTTTGTCGGAATAAAGGGCCAGTAATTGTCAGACGGAAAATAGAATGGTACTCAAATGGTAGTAGAACTGCACGTGTTTTTCATCCCAGAAACAACCTGCTGCGTTCTGATGCAAATATTTGAGTGAAGCCCGGGGTCACACACAAGGAACTAAGCAGATGAACTTTCTTTTGTGCCTCGCCTGACTCCTGGTATGCTTGCCTTCAACTACTCGTGCGAGAAGGGACGGTACAGTAGTCGGTCCCTTTCCCTGTGACAACGACACACAAACCAGTTGATTTTGTTATTTTTTGTCTCCACGTTCCCATCTCTCTATCCTCTACCGCCATAATCTGTCGTACCCTGTCCACGCTGATGCAACGTACGTTTTGATGCAACACTTGACGCGGTCGATTCCCGCAGTCACAGGTTGACTCCGGTACGAAAGGTATTCTGAAAAAAAATGGACCCGAAGGGTTACCAAAGCGAAAAATCAGGGGCAAACAGTGTGGAGCCCTCCGCTCCACTCTACACGCTATAATGTGACGTAGGAATGAAACTGTTGTTGTTGTTGTTGTGGCCTTCACATTAAACTCGTGTCAGTTGCTAATCCCAAAATCTAGCAAAGACGCGGTCCCTGGTCACAACAATGCTTGAGCCATCAGAAGATCTAAAGAACACGCAAACCAGCAAGAAAAGGGTACACAAGCCCGAGGAGGTACACCACAATCCCTGCAGCACGTTTGCGTGCCCAAAAACTGAACCACCCGTCCACACACTACATTCGACTACAACAGCATCCCCCCTGTCCCACACTTTTACCAAAATGAATGCTTGCCGACTACAACGTACAGCCGTCTGGAGTGCTGCCTGTACATTAAATGGTAGGCATGGTACAAGTTCGGGTTAGCTGTAAACGTCACAATCACCACTCGGGTGCATTGATACAATGCCGGGGGATGTTCTGTGCCGGGTATTCACCGGTCAGGCAAACAAGGACATCTCCCCACAGATCGCAACGCAGACATGGTGTAAGGGAAAGAAATTGATTGGTTGGCAACGCCTCGTGGCCCTCTTTACGCTGACCTCTCCACCCCCGTTCGCTGCACCTCTATCGCAGTATAGTGGATACCTTTGTCATCACTTGCACGGGTGGGGCATTTAGACACTCCAAGCTATCCCTTCCACAGAACGGGCTGGACGATAGTACACCAACCAGCCTATCTCGACCACCGTCTTGTCTTCGACTGCCTGTTTTACCAATGGAGGGAGTAGTAAGCCATCTATCCCCCGAGGAGGGAGTTACGCCTTGTCGCGTACACCGATAACGGATGCTTTCCCCTCCGACGTGGTGGTCCATTGTCCGGTCCACTCTTGGTCGGGGTGTTCAGCGATGAATTCGCGCGCCCTTCTCTCGGCGTCGGCCTGATCCCAGATCGGTCCCACATTGACATCGTGCGTACGTCTGCTTCGAGTTGCTGCTGCGGCCTTGTCGCGTACACCGATAACGGATGCTTTCCCCTCCGACGTGGTCGTCCATTGTCCGGTCCACTCTTGGTCGGGATGTTCGGCGATGAATTCGCGCGCCCTCCTCTCTGCGTCGGCCTGATCCCAGATCGGTCCCACATTGACGTCGTGCGTACGTCTGCTTGGAGTTGCTACTGCCGCCGGCGCCCCTGCTGCTGCTGCTGCTGCTGCTGCTGATATATCTTCGCGCACACCAGCACGGTGGTGTGGTGGTGACGGCGGGTCATATGGGACGGGTGGTGGTGATGCCCTGCGGCTTCTCCCCCCTCTGCAAATTGAGCAACCTGCTGACCGCCCGGGATGAAGAGAACAGGTACAAGTGGCCGTTGGGGGTAGCTTGCAGCCGTTCCAAGCCGTAGAACATGTTTCAGATCGGCATCAACCCAGAAACATTCGGCGCACGAATTGGTAATTAGCCTAGTTGCTGCGCTCCACATAGTAAATTTAAGTATCCGCTCTTTCCGAGAGGCATGAAGTCCTTGGTTTTCGTGCCTGTATCCGAGTAGTTGTCTGCTACGATGGTCATCAACACATTGAAATTAGCGCGACAAATCTGCATTTCAGAATTCCAGCGAACCTGAACAAATGGAACATGTTTCTAACGTGTCGCATCTTGTCCTACGGTCGCGTGGTGGTGACAGCGTGTTGTCGTAGTATCTTGTCCCATGATCGCGTGGGGGTGATAAGGTGTGCCATCGCGTGGGTGGTGGCGACAGGGTGTGGTCGTAGCCGTATCGGGCGCGTGATGATGGCGAATACCCCCGCCGCCCCCTGCCCCGGCCCCTCTCTCTGTGAGCTTCTTCCCACCACATCTGCGCTTCCTCCTGGTGTGCGGCACAATTCACAAGAGCAAGGACGAGGGCCGGATTGGATTGGTCGGAGAAAATCGTGAGTTTGGAGATACAACCCTGTCAACACTGCGTCTGGAAGCAAAACTCAGTATCCATGGACGAGACGCCGAGTGGGTGAGCAGCTGCTTCGTCTTGGTATCGAATACCGGCATACGTAGGTCACACTTTTTCTTTGCGAATCTGTCGAAATCTATGTTTGCGTCGCAGCACAGAGTTGACTGTTCTGACATGCCCGTATCTGGTAGTAAGAATACGACGATAGGGCCGGATGTACCGTAGACCCTTCACAAACACGCTGGTGAGGACGTTTTTCAACCGCAGTGACTCGACAAACATGGCCCTACTGACGACTGATGGTGTGTCGTTGACGTCATCTCTTGTCCAAGCGTATGTTTCTTCTGCGCACTCTACGTAAGCTTTCGGATACCTCTTGCTGTCGCAGGCATGCCTGTCGCTCCCGCTCTAGTTGGATTGCTCTTTCGATCCGTTCCGCCTCGGCTCGCTCGGCGGCCAACCGGTCATTCTCGGCCAACAGGAGGTCGAGCTTGCCTGATCGTGGTGTTTTGTGGCATGTACACATGTAGCAAAGCAGAAATCTGCTTGAGGTGTTCCGAAAAAGACAATCCAACAACCACGGTGGTGAATACACAACAGCGTTGCTTGTGGGGTTTCGACACAGTCGGGGATGTCACGATACCCGGCAAGGCGCGCTTCTCGCAGTCACGACTATTTACACTCTAGCCAACGCGTTGGCGAGTACGTGCACCCGACACAGTCGTACGCGGGAAGCAGCACGTAATCCCGTCTCCAAGCGCGCGGTTTCTACTCGTCTTCGCCGGTAAGATACCCGCTCACCAAGAGCATATCGAGGGCCGATGCCGTTCGTAGGCTCTGATTGCAGAGCGACCTGTGCGCTTTGTCCGACCGCACTACAAGAGCTGAGCATTGGGGCGAACCGCCCATTCTCAGACCCGCCCGCTCTCCGCCCCTACCCAACGCGCCTCGTCCATTTCCACAAAGTAGTAGCAACAAACAGAGACGGAGCACGACCGAATTCTTCAGTAGTAGACGCAGAAGCCGTATCAGCCAAGGAAACCGGGGAGAATGAAGAAGACAAGTAGCAAGATGAACCGAAAATGGCGCGGGAGTTGTGTCTTTCCCATACAAGACTTTAACGTACACACTCCCCCGACAACCTGTCGTGCCATATCACTACATACATGAATTCGAGCCCGCACCTTGTATGCTGCTCTTGAACGCCGCCAGCGTAGGAAGCTCACGCGGAAGATCGCCACTAAGATCCTTGTAGGCGTCGACCTTCTTCACGACGTCGCCCTGCAGTTTTTTGTGCAGCTCAATGCACATGCCGTTCCAGGCAGATTTAACTTGTCCCTTGCGCATCGGCAACCCTCTCCGTATGGCGACCAGCTGCTTGAGATAGACATAAAACAAACAGTAGCAGCGAAGAGACATATACTTCCCTGTTATTGCTTACTAGGGCTACGGATTGGCCCCCCGCCCCCCAATGGGGCGGGCGGCCACACCGGGATGGATGACGGTGAGGGTTTTGGGGGGAATTAGGAATAAGAACAAGGAAGACGACACATTATAAGTAGCAAGAAGGGGCGGTGTATTGGAGACGCAATGAAGACGTGAAGACGTGAAGACGTTCGCGAAGAGCGAGAGGGCACAGGAGGGTGAAGCATCGGCTCCGCGCCCCCAGTGGGCGGGGGGGGCATAAGGCGTGACAGATGTCGAGTAGGTCCGCGAGAACGGCCGACGTGTGCTGCGCGGCTATGGTCGATGCTGTCAATCATTTTCTACATGCTTTCTTTATTTTTTTCTCTTTTTTTTTCTTCTTTTTTGTTCTATCTTTGTCCGATCTACTGTTACCTCGCATAGCGTGCAGAGGCGAGCGGAGTGGCCTAGACTAGCCGTCGTTGACTTTTGTTCGCTTGCGGACCCTTCGGATTCCTATATTTTCGTATACCTTTTTTGGGTAAAGTAGCCTGTGACCACGGGAATCGACCCCGTCAAGTGTTCAGACTATATAGTACGGACGACAGAAGAAGGTACTGGGCAGAGAGAACGGGACTGTATCTAGTGTGAAGGCACAACAACAACAACAACCGCAACAAAAACAACAACTGTAGTGCAGAGTAGTTCTGGACCATCTCTCTCGACCATTTCATTTCGTGGGCAGACTTACAGTCTAATCATGCAAAAAACTTTTCGTAGAATTTATATGTTGTCCGATACAACAACGAAGACGCGCGTCACCAATCAACATCCTTCATTCGGTGCGGCAATAGCCGATTGTTAAGGAGGACCCGATGCGCTGGGTATCCGTCAATTGACTTTTACCTGAATCGGTACACCTTCGCATATGGCGTCAGCGACAGGATACTGGTTCGAATCTCCTTGTGTGTACACTTTTTCTCCTGACTTGGATATGTTCCCAAGGACACAATGTGTGTCAGTCCTGAGAACACCTCTTGGAGTCGATCCTACAAAGAACCTTGTGACACTTCCATCGAATTACCCATCCTGGCCACAAGAGATTCCCAGTTGAGGGTAAATTCTGTGGGTGGAGAGTGTTAAGGAGGACCCGATTCGCAGGGTATCCGTCGATTGACTTTTACCTGAATCGGTACACCTTCGCACGATCCATCTACTTATCATTTCGTGCAAGCTTTTTGACGATAGCACCGAGTGAGTGTAACTTGATGAATGTACATACTTTGTTGCTCAAGAAAACAGAGTGACCCGACAAACGAAAAATAACTATATACAGCGGTACGTAGAACGATTACAATATTTTTGGAGTCCATCCTAACACCGTACGTAGCCCCCATGGTAAGGAACCGAAAGAATAGTAGGTATCTTATATGCTGCATGAACTATCGTTGTGGGATATCTGTGATGGACATACATGCACAAACAAACATGAACAACGTACGGAGCTCTGGATAAGCGCGCCGTGGACATGGACATCCGGAAAAAAAGGGGGGAAAGGAAAAAAAGAGTAACCAGCTCAGCCTCACACCTATTCCGTACTGAGCGCCATCCAGTTACCCGCAAAAACACGTATTTTAAGCGATGCAATAAAGAAGACGAAAGTGCCGGTTCATAGCAAGCAATACTTTCCAGATTGGTGTGCTGGGCGCACGATAGCGGCCGCAACTCCCTCTGCTTGCGTTGCGATGAATAGGGAGATGCACCAGACTACAGCAGTAGAGTGCTTCGTTTCGTGGCATGCGGAGAGTTATAACGCGTAAAGGAAAACGTTGCTGTCACGTGCTGGTGTGTGCTGGTGCCGCAGTCGACATGCAAATATACCCGTGCGTCCAAAGCAGCGCTTAAACCTTAGTTGGCTTACGGTAGGTCTGCAAGTACGGCCGACCCGTGCTGCGCGTCTATTCGATGCTGTCAATCAGTTGCGACGTGTGCCGGCCTTTATCTGCGCGTGATAGAACGTGTTTGTCTATTGCTGCGCTTGCTGCTTGTAAGATATACTCGTAGCATAGTAACGATGGTTGAATATGGGACATGGATCTACGGAGATTGCAATTGGTAGATTGCGGAGGAACAGAGAGTTTCTACTTGGTTTCTTCGGAGATGAGTGATCTGAATTGCGTGACGGATGAGTGTTCTGCTTTTCTTTTCGGATCCTCGGACACAAAGTGTTCTCTGCTCACCCCTCTCCCTGATAATACAAGACTTTCGCATCTCGGCCCTCACTGGCCGAGCTGCCTTTCTCCACAAACCTTCAAGCTTCGGCCTACCCGGTTTACCCAACACGCTAGCCTTGAACGACATTGTCGAGGGTGATTGGGTAAGAGCCAACCAGAGATTGGTAGCACCGATGGGCAGCCGCATGCGCGGCTGACGACACCTAACCAGACGAAGAGGCCACCTACGGCGAGGGCCTGCACGGCAGCAGCACCCCCAAGACCTACGGCAGCGCCATCGTCAGCTGCGCCCCGCCGTCTACTGGGGTTGTAGGCATGAACAGGCACGTGATGACTTCGCAGTTTTGGACTGCTGTCGTAATGTGTACACCCATGCGGTGATGCGGTACGCCTACGTAGTGCCGTCAGATTCTGAACGCGGCATTTCGCCGTGCGGTACTGCCGTCAAACGCCAACACTAACTCCACCTCCACCTCCACCCGGCACTGCCGTCAAACACCTCTCTCCCCTGCTCTTTCTCTAGTATAATCGCGGCAATACGCCGCGCGGTAATGTCGACAAACTCGAACTCTTCCTCAATCAAAACGCGACCATACGTCGTGCGGTACTGCCGTCAAACGCCAACACTAACTCCACCTCCACCTCCACCCGGCACTGCCGTCAAACACCTCTCTCCCCTGCTCTTTCTCTAGTATAATCGCGGCAATACGCCGCGCGGTAATGTCGACAAACTCGAACTCTTCCTCAATCAAAACGCGACCATACGTCGTGCGGTACTGCCGTCAAACTCCACCGCTCGGTCAAAGGCCGACTACCTGCAGCAAATGGGTAGACCCAACCTAGGTTACAGTAATCCTCAAAAACTGATGTCGTTTCTAAACTGATGATACGATGTGTGTGTGCAGGCATGGTATTAGAAATAGTATTGTGCGTAATGTAATGCAGTGATTGGCGAGGTTTTGTGCTTTGTCTTCCTGACAGCCGTGCTGAGACCAACTTTCTCACCCCGGCAATAGCGTGATCAACGTTTATCTGGGCTCTCTTTGGTAGCTACTTTTTGAGCAGCAGGTTTAGCCTGATCAACAATGCGTGATCAACGTTTTGTCTGGACTCTCTTTGGGTAGCAGCTTCAACCTGATCAAAAATTTTTCATGTCTTGGTGGTGTCAGCTAGTACCAGAGACGCGTGAAGTCTCAGCGACGTGCAACATTGATTGGTACCTCCACCGTGTTGCAGATGAGAAATCCACAATATTGACGAAGTAAATGCTGATTTCCGAATATTGTTATACGTTGTCTTGAGGTTGCTATTTGTTGTGAGATTGGGGTTGCAAGTTGTTAAGGTTTTGACTCAGGATTGATTACCCTATGGTCAGAGCAGGAGCAGCGGCTGTATTATTATTTTGTGGTCGAGGACTGATCAACCTCCGTTTCAGGATGATATTCAGCTATTTATTGAGTGGCAATGTCGCAGTGATCGGTAATTTCAGACAAACCAATCCACAAGTAGGGTCCGACGACTTGAAAGTGTGTTTCATTTGTTGCTTTTTCTGCTGCAGTCACTATTGTGCAGAACCGGGGGGAATGTTGGTAGTATGTGATTCTCCTCAGTAGTGCTGGTTTGTTCGGAACTAATCTGCCGCCATCTTCCCCTCCAAACGCGCGACCTGCCCTGCACCACCGCCGAGTCAATCCTCCGGGAGCGACAATTGTTATTCCCCAACTCCAGGCGGACGCAAACATCCAAGCTCGATTCGCGGCCAGCCGGAAAAGATGAAAGGCGAAAGTCGACCTCGACGAAGGCGTGCAAAATATCCGCTGGGGGGGGGAGAAACAATGGCTCAGGCAACGGGTTAAGCGCTGGAGGTTGATGCGCCGGCAAATGGAGGGGTTTCGAGTGTTACTGTCTTGGTATGGAACTGGAGGATTTTCTAATGTTTCGTCTGATGCAATGGATTGGATGTTGGCCTTGGTATTGGATTGGTTTCTAGCATTCGGATTGGCGAACGTTGTTTCGGCATTGGATTTGATTTGGTTTTGGTGTTTCGTCGGGATTTATTTGCAGCAGGATTGTTTTTCTTGGGTTTCGACTGGACGAATATTAAATGTTGGTGTTTTGGCCTGTGGTTCAGATCTCCGACCCCTTCTACATCAGGGGGGCGGATCTCCCAGAGCAGGGGGGCACGTTGTTCTTTCGGAAGGAATTCACTGTAGCTGGTGCGAAGTTTCTAGAGAGAAACACTACAGTAGGAAAAATACTCGCGTATTTCCTGCTCAAATTATCTCAACGCTGAACGAATGTTTGGGGATGTATGTTGTTTGATCGGAAAAGTGTCAAGAGTAGAGGATTCATACCATGCCCACAAGCGTTTTACCGGCGAAGTGGGCATGAAACGTGTACGTTTGTTCTATGCGAAAGTTTGCGTTGTCTTGGTCGGATTCGTAGTCGGATGGATGTAATCAGACGCAGAACGAAGAAGGCAATATTCTACGAATTGATCCGTGTTTGGAAAGTAAATGAAGAGGAGTTCCACAGATAGGTTTGGTTCAATGGATTGTTTAATGCTTTGAGTTGTGCGAAGGACATAAGTACTTTGCGGGTGTCGTTGCGGCGAAGTGCTGAGAAAGGATGGACCAGAACAAGAGCGTTTTGCAGAGAAGGAATGAAGGCGATGAGACAAGACGGTGTGGGTTCAGGAACATTTGCATAATCGAGTTCTTGGATATTTGTTTGTCATGGAGGAGTAGGATCCACGTTTTGGGTCGTAAATGGAATAATATTGACTTGCCGTATCATCATTACGATGCATTCGAGCAGGGGGGCTGTAAGATATACTCGTAGCATAGTAACGATGGTTGAATATGGGACATGGATCTACGGAGATTGCAATTGGTAGATTGCGGAGGAACAGGGAGTTTCTACTTGGTTTCTTCGGAGATTCGATGAGTGATCTGAATTGCGTGACGGATGAGTGTTCTGCTTTTCTCTTCGGGTCCTCGGACACAAGTGTTCTCTGCTAACCCCTCTCCCTGATAATACAAGACTTTCTCATCTCGGCCCTCACTGGCCGAGCTGCCTTTCTCCACAAACCTTCAAGCTTCGGCCTACCCGGTTTACCCAACACTGCTACTGTTGGGTAAAACAGCTGTGTGTGGATACCTGCGTGCTACAATAATGAAGCTGCGCTACGGTAGGTCTACAAGTACGGCTGACGCGTGCTGTGCGTCTATGCTCCGTGCTGTCAATCATTTGCGACGCGTGTCGGCCTTTATCATGCGGTTGCGCGTGCCTGAACGTGAACCTTCGGTGTCTGTTCCAAACTGTGCTGTGCTGTACAGACGACCATCCTACAATTATAGACTAGTCTATAAGTATATGACTGTCGAGCAAATCATGCTCAATTCAGATACGAACATTGAAATTCAACATGGTGACCGTCGGCCAACCTCCGAGGTTCTGGATGAATCAGGGCTGCTTCTACTGCGTGCGTCAGTTGGCGGAGAATACCTGTAAACGGTAGTCTTCGGGTTCGTGCGATGGAAACTACTGAGTAGTAAAATGCACCTATGTACATATTTTTTTCCCCGCGGCGTCGTATGCGCCGGGTTTTGAGACCACGGGCTGCCCATTTTTTGTGGACTATAGAGCTAATGTGAGAAACAACAACAACAAACAATATAGACTAGACTTAAGAGCCGTTCAAAAATTCGTGACTTACCCAGATTTCTATTTTTCGCAAACCGCGCAGCGGAAAACACGTATAAAGGTTGGGATGGCAACACCGACAGAACCTCTTCAGCTGTGGACTCCGATTTTTCGGGGGGTTAGAAAAGTGAGAAAGGTGCAGACCGAAACCCTACCTGGACGACAGAAAAATAAAATCAACTTATGGAAAACCCTAAATCTTCAGTTTGAGGTGCTTCCATAAGACGAAGCTCCTTCGGTTTCAGGTAGAATGCGATCACCTGCTTGTTGATGTGACAGGTTTGCGCCTGGTCGATCAGACGGTCAACCTCTGCCTGCGCTGCATCAATCTGATCCTTCTGACGATCGTAGCATTCTCCAGCGCGCTGAGCAATGGCCAGGTCCAACATCTCCCCCCCTCTGTCGACAGCGGCCCGAGCCAAACCCTGGGCGGTTGGAACCGTGACGCCACACGACCGGCGAGACAAAAGAAATCCGTATCGGAATCGGAAATGGTCCCCCTCACCATGGGTTCTACAGCATATGGCAAGAAATAACACGCATACAGTTCTGCTCAATTTATCTAGGCCCGCTCGACTTTTCCTTCTCGCACAAGAGGGTGCCCACACCAAAAAAATACCGGTACTTCGTATGCGGTATCAAACATCATGTTTGGTCCATGCTGTATCCAGACGTTTTCAAACTGCGGTACCTGCGTCTCTCGAGTGTAGCACTCCACGGCGGTGCTCCCTGCTTTGTCCAGGAGCGTTTTTGTATCAGCCTCTGACTTTGGGCGATCCACTGGAAGATGCAGGTACCATGTTTCGCCATTCGGTGTATCGAGCGCCGACGAGCGAGACGAGTCAAAAGAGATGAGCAATGTACATGTTCCAGGCAACAAAATTGGGCCATCCAACCAACCAAGGTAATTGGGGGACGGTTGCTGAGTTTGGGGGCGCGGAAGCGCGGGAGAAAGCGAACCAAAAGACAGGACCGTCCATTCGCTCTCACCGTGCGATTTTACAATGTCACACAACGGCAGCGCAGATTTCAAAAGAGACCCGCAGGTAACGAAAGTGTCGAAATCGTCAATCGTTCAAGACTGCAATTCTACAGGCACGCCTAACCCATCAGAGACGTGTACATCTATTGAAAGACAGAACTGTCGCGGGGTTGCTGATATAGCCGCGAGAAACCCTGATCCACGAAGCGCGGAGACCGAAAAATACTGCTGTAGTGCGGGACATCCAATACAATACTGCTCACCACCCAGTTGAGAGAGGGTGCTAAAGAACACCTTCTTGGACTCCTCGTATGCTCCCTCGGCGCGCTCCACATGCACGGACTCCATCATGCTGATGGGAATGCATCGCCACAAAAATGGCAGAATTAGACAAAAAGTACGCAATTCGGCTTCTGAAACATTCAGCACATGAATCACGGCGGCATTTCCATGCGTTGCGGAGAACGTGGACGCGGGGGGCGATGCATTATTGCTGCGTCAGATGATCGGTGCCAAAATGCAGGTTTGCACAACGGTTACCCCCAAATCGAAACGCCAGCAGCAGCGATCCGAGAAACTTCTACTCCACTCTTCTTCTATTTTTCACCTCGCAAAATTGTAAACAGAACCTACTTAACCTCGTATGGGTGGCGGGTGCCGTATTGGCTGCACTGCTTAACCGCAAACTGTACATGCCACAAGTGTCGCTTCGGCCATTTGCAGGAGAATTATCAATTTTCCTGGGTAGGTCCTCAGCTTGGACACGACCAACCCACCTGAGCGGGACGATGTCGTTTGACCCGTCGTTCACCGCTTCACACACTTTAGTCAGCAGAGTCGCCAGCGCAACTCCGCCCTCGATAGGCCTATCCCCAAACCTATGGGGCTCGACCAGCAAATCCGTTGCGAGCTCACGGCGCAGTTCGCTGACCTTTTCCGTAAACTCTGCCGACACCTCTGCCTGAAGGATCTCGCGCTCTACGTACATGCGCACGGTAGTGGAGCAACGGGGTGGGGTGTGTTGCGGAATTACGAGTTGTCCGCGAAGTGTGCCGGGCGCGGGGGGAGCGCCTATCTACAACCCATGGATTGTCAGAGAGAACCACAGTCCAAACATCCATCCCGGTGGAAAGGGGGCGTGGAGGCACACGACAGCAACGGCCACGGGCAGCAAGTTCTTTGTGTGCAGAGGACAGCGTCGCACGTCTAAGCTATCGTTTCGCATCAACGATAGTCTCCAGCCCCCGATGGGGCCAACGTATTATACATTTTTTGGCATCAAAATGTGCTCTGCATAGCCGATCTGGATCTCCTCGCAAACGTTGACCGCCTCTGCGGTCGGACCGGGGGAGAGCGGCTACTACCACGCACTGCTGTATGGGATGCGTGTCGACCCCGCTCCCACAAGAAATGTGCTATCTATTCTGGCACAAAAGAGCACCAGTCCAACACATGTGGAGGTGGCCTACTTGCAGAGTTGGAAACAATATTCTCCTCCAAACCACCCGCGCTTACCTCCAATGGCGCCGTGAGGACGGGGCAAGCAGCACACGCGAATGCTCTGAAATGACTGCTGGAGTAGCTTCCGTTTCTCGTTGCGCTCTTTCAGCGCGTCTCCCGCTTTGGTGTTGCGGACCGTCTCGTCTTCTTGCTCGAATATGCGATCGTACGCACTCTGCTCTTGCATGCTGGTCACGTCACGCAGGAGAATAATCAGGTGCCCGAAAGAGTCCTCGCGTTCTTCTGGGCTCAGCAGGCTCGCGGCGTACGTCATGGCTGACAGCTTGTCAAGCGTGGTGGCCCTGTTGGGAAGTCCTTGCCAGTTGTAGATGACAACCTACCACACAAAAATCATGAGAGAGAGGCGGGAGGGGCGACAACAATATCAAACATCACGCTTACTCGTGACTGCGACGTTGAAATACAGTCGGTATAGTTGGTGCAACGGACAAACTGTTCCCGGGCTTTGGACGCGCCAAAAACACCACCTCCCTCCGCTGTGTCCAAAGTTTATTTTCCCCTTGCGGTACGTTGTCAATACCATGTCTGGGTTGTGACCATTGCGACAGAACCCCCCTTCAGCGATACGTCTCCATGTACGGTATGATCACGTACACCCGAACATCCTGCCGCTTGATGGATCTCCTACCTTAGAGAGAAGAAGGAGCGGGGCTACCAGTTTTGTGTCGTACGAATCGCCCTTGTCTCCCTGGCCTTCCACGTCCACGAATCCAATATCCGGCAGCTGCTGCGGCTGCGATGCTCCTGTCAAAGCCTGCTCGGTCGAGGACCTCCACCACCAACTCCGCCGTCCTCCGCCGCTAGCTGCGGAGGAAGGGGGAGGTGAAGATGCAGATGAAATCTGCTCTAGAGAGCGGGTCGTTGTCGACATGGAGGCGCCTACAGTGCAGGGCCATGATCCTCCTTCGACCGCGAATACGTCCTTTTCGCTGCTGGCATTGTTGTTGTCGTCTCTCTCCGGAGCAATGAGGGCGTTCATGAAGAAAGATTTTCCCGTTCTAGCATTTCCCCAGATGGTGATCAGATTCAACGGTTTCTTCGACGGGAAATGCTTCTTCATCGCCGGGCCAGCTCCTTTCGCGAGGCACACACACTCCGTCGCTTTTCGTTGCGATGACGACGACGGCGACGACGATGAGCCACCACGAGCAGTAGCAGCAGCAGTCGAGGGAGCGATCTCGAGAAGTGTGACGCTGGGATTTTCCTCTGGAGTGCTAGTGTCGGTGGGACATACACGAGGAAAGGAGTGAGGTGAACGTGATCGCGTGTTGGTATTTGACACAGACAAACACATGAACGCCTTCAATGTGATAATGCTGTGAACGAAAGCTAGTCCAACGTGATGTACCGGGGAGCCATTTCGAAACCCCCTACAGAAGGCCTTGCAATGCAACCCGCACGCAACTTTGTTTTCTCCAGCAGCCGTGCGTCTATGTATCTGTATTGGTGTTGGTAGGCTTGTCTTCGCGGGCGCCGCGCAATAGCCTTGTTGTAGAGGGCGCAAAATCTCAAACTAATTATGATAACAGGTGCATCGACACGCGTGCCGTGTGTGACTCAAGAGGGCACACCCCCTGGACCAACTTGGACGATTTCTCCACCGCAATGGTATTCCATACAATGATGTATTGTGGTTCCGGCCGAGTTGAGAAACACCTCACGCGTGACAAGATTCATCACCTCCGGCAGCAACTCTCTGCCAAGTCAAACAACAAAACATATCGAGGAAAAACCCACCGCACGGGTGTGGTGTTGCCTTCTATTTTGCAGCAGGGACACGTCGCGCTGTTGCTGGTTTAGTTGCGTAGACTATTGGTGCTGCTGTGAAAGGTTAGTGGGCTCAAATAAATGAATTTCAGAGTTTTGTGAACCAGAGAGGACAAGAGGCGAAATATTGGCGGCGCACATTCTGCTCAAAAATAGCGCAGTGTACTATTGGATATTGGTTACTGCTTTCGGTTGCTGGTACAACATGGAAGATTGTTGGTATTGCATGTGCGGTAAGTTTGTTCCGTAAAGTGAACAGCCACCCAAGGATTATCTACCAGCTCTTCAGCACTCCTTCGACGACCGAACAACCCGCAAAGGGCGAACTCAAGCACTCAAGAGAGGGGACATCTCCTCCCTCCTTGCTTGGCTGATAGATTACTTCAAGTGAGCGAGCACAAGGAGCAGAGGACCTGCGGCGGAAGACAGGCCCGATGAAAAGTTCAAGCGGGCAGCGTAAGTGTGCCGCCACTCGGGTGGGGTGAAGGACGCTGCCAAAGCGCTTCTGGCCGAAAAACGGTCGCCTGGAAATGACGAGACGTTGGAACGCCTACAAGCCAAGTTTCCGCATGAGGGTCCAGTGGCCGTGCAGGAGGCCATCTCAGAAGCCATAACGGAAAGACGAGCCGAGGACCAGAACACGAGTTCGATCCGCAAGTGCTCATTGAAGTCATCAACAGCAGGAGCTCCTATTCTGGGGCGGGCAACGACGGGCAACGTTTTTCCCACCTGAAGTCCGTTTCAACACAAAAATTGGACGAAAAGGGTTCAGCACTGCCATGTCCTCCCTTTGGGAGAAGACTTATCAGCAAACCCTAACGCGTTCCCGCCGGAGTTCGGAGCTCTCTGGAAACAGCCCAGCTTGATCGCCGTAGGTAAAAAATGCCGTCCAGTGTGCATCGGAATGACATGGAGACGGCTGATCGCAGCGAGCGTTATCAGGGAGTGGAAACCAAAGCTGGAGAAAGTACTCAAAGAAGCGGACCAAGTTGGCGTGGCCCTGGCGGGACGGGTCGAAAGAGTCGCGATGCAAGCGCAACGTGTACAGAAAATCGGCCATTGGGTGATCCAGACGGAATGCTCCAACGCTTTAAGAACGTGAAAACGAACCGCCATGTTGGCCCAAGCGGCCAAAAGCGCCCCCGACCTCGTGGAGTACATCGCCCGCGTACATGGACGACATCAACTTGCACTTCCACGAGATCACAGTAGAAACCATTCAGGTGATACCGGACCTCGTTAGTAAACTTTAGGCAGTCGGCACTATCGTGAAAGAAGGGAATACTTCGGCGACGCCTCCACCGGGACACGAGGTGATTCAAGAAGAGAGGAGGCTTTTGGGCGAAGCAGGTTTACCAATAGCAGAGGAGGGCATCAAAGTGGTAGGCGTCCCTATTGGGACAGATGGCTTCGTCTAGGACTTCGCCATGGAGGTCATCATACAATGAGGAGCAGGAAATTGGCCCACGTGCTAGCACGTATGCCAAACAAAAAAGTGGCACACCTGACCACGCCACTGTCGCTCGTCCACAGATCGGCCCACATCGAGCGTGGCATCGACTACAAACTGGTCAGTGGGGCCTGCGACAGGCTAGACGATCTTGTGATGTGCGTCCTCGAAGCAGGAATGGGGCTTAGTCTAGAGGCTAGCACGGCCAAGACCAATTCTTCGAAGACGACGCCAGTCGGACCGACTCAAGTTGCGGCCCCATCAACAAGCCCAGGCGCTTCTGTCAACGGGGGCTGGAGGATTGGGACTACCAGCGGCAGTTGTTCGACGGTTTTCAGATTCTCTTGGCAAAATTGTCCTCACCGTCCCCGCTGTATAGCGACTCGGAAGGGTCCTCTGGGAGAGTCGGTGAGGACCAAGATACCGGAAACCGTCTTAGTGGAGCGGATGAGGGACGCGATACTGGAGGTCCATCGGGAGCACGGCCTGTCGGAGGAAGTCTTGAAAGGGGTGGTGCCGCCATTATGGGTTGCATGGGTCCTAACAGTCGGGAGAAACCGGAAGACGGCGGTCTACGGTGGCGGAACTAGCAGCACATGACGGAGAATCCACTACGCCCAGGAAAGCCCAACACAAATTGAGCAAAGCGTTCAACAAAGACATTTCGAGAAGTTCATGGAGTCCCTGGAGTAGCTGCCCTAAGCAGCGGTCCCGCCCATGCCGGAAAACCCATGCGGAGGAAGGGACTCTAAGGACATGGCCTTGGCGAGAGTGAGGAGCTCTCAAGGAAAGGAGGACACGCTTGGTTGAGAGCGGCCCCTACTGACTATGCTCGGGTGATTTCTACGAATGAATTCGTCTACGCCATCAGACATGCCCTGGAGTCGAGGAATTCTTGGCACCAGGGTGTCCCACATGCCACAGAGGCAGGGAAAAAACGGTCATCACAACGGTGTCCCCACGAATCTGTTTAAGGCGTGGGGCCCAAGTGAACATGCATAAACCTCTCAAGTATGTACTGATGAGCCTTAATGGCCTGGGGGTGAAACACGACGTGTAAACCGGGGCGATTTTCACAGGGGAGAGGAACCTGAGCATGGGCATTGTGATCAGCCGGGAGCTCTCGCAAACGCATCATCAGGGTACCGCCAGAACGGAATGCTCCTTGATGTGACCTACCCAGATCCGCAAGCACACGTACACTTGCGAAAGGGCAGCGCAAACAGCTATGGAACAGCAGCCCAAGCCTCCTAGGTGCGAAAGCGTTAGCACTCGTCTGCTCGTCCGGGATATGTGTCCTTCGACGAGCGCAGCTATCAACTTACCACCTTTGCGGTGGAAAGCTTTGGCCGCCTTGGAGAGGAGAGTTACGAGTTCATCGACGAACTAGCGACACACGCTGCAGGAAGAAGGGATCGAGAGACGATGACCAAGAAAGGAGTCTTCAAGGAGAGACTACGTCAGTCGTTTCGGTGGCTACGGAGGAGGCTATTTCAAGGAGAGAGCAAAGATTCATTCTCGCACTATGTGGGCCTCAAGAAACGGAGGACCAGTGAGCAAGACCGACATCGAACGCATCGACGCCAATTATTTGGGGATGTATGTGCATTTCCTTCTGAAGGGTTGATGGGTTGTTACAGTGTAGTACAGGTTATTTATGCGGGTGAAATGTGTTTCAAAAAGTCGAGAATGTACACAGCGTCAGTTCACAGACGGCAAGTTGCCGTCACATTTTTGGAGAAGACACGATTTTGGAATTTTCCCGAAAAGGAAGTAGCGTAAGAAAAAAGGAATTGTTGGTACTTAGGTCATACGCTAACTAGTGATTTGATTGATTTTCACTAAGGTTTCAGTAAGAAATAGGTTTATGTATAGTCTAAGCAGTACTATTCTAGTGTATTATACTATTCGTGCAAAACATGAGCATGACGATGATGAAATCGGAGTGAACAATTTTTGGGAATCGGAAGATACATCTTCTACTGTCGGGGGGGGGTGTACTCATATTCGTGCATGCCGTAGTCGTTAGACCATTGACCTCGCATCCCTNCGCATGAAGGGTGCGCTGCACCCTGCTAAGGGTTTTCGGCATCTTGTGCCTACTTCCTTGCGTACGGATCACAGCTACGTATGACTTAATTTACTTTCTGGTGCTTTCACTTCCAGAGACAGTTGTAAGCACTGTGTAACTGCCTCGAGGGTGCNAAAAAAACGGTAACCTGGTTGCCGAGTTCACGAAGTGAATTGGCTTGTTTTACAACGTCGTTGCCAAGCGACGAAAACCCAATCCCGATGGCAAACACCTACTGTCGAGGAGTAAATAAAATAATACTCATATTTAATTATTCTGAGAAAGTTCGCACAGCAGCCTGAATCGGTTTTCCCATAATAATCTAGATGTAGAGATGGCGAGCATGGGCTTGGGATAACCCTATTGGGTCTACTGGCGTCCTGACTGATCTATCATTGATTGATCATTTGTTTGCAAATGCTGGTGTTGTGGCGTGTCATGGAGTCGCCGCCCTGTATCCCCCCACGCCAGGTGTTGGCAAGTCCATATCGGTAGTATTCGCATCGACTGCGCTGCCCGGTGACCGATGACAAGACGTTAGTGCCACCGAGTGAATATCAAGGTCCCTGGAACGGCCAAAATTCGAAAAAGGCATACTGCTACATGCGAATGCCACCATGAAGCTCTCCCTATATCCTTTCACAGAGACACACATCAATAGGTCCACATACATAACCTCGCGCGAATCTAGGAAGCCAAAAAAGCAAAGGAGGACAGCGATTAGAGCATTTCAAGCTCAAGCAGGCCAGGATATCGTGGAATGCTGCATATCCTCCAAATTTGAAAGTCGTACACTCCCAAGATCCAGCAGCCATCTTGTCAGCAGCGATGCTACACAGCAGCAGCAGTAAGACGAGTTCCACATACAGTAGTAACAAAACACTATCATCATAGCCCCACAGCAGTACTTCTGTCTCTCT